TGATTTAACGTGAGCTCACTCCTGTATTATACTTTGTTTTAATGTCAGCTTGCCACAAATTAGAATTGCCTGAGAAGGAGCCTTACTTGAAGAAGCATCTTGATTGCTTTGATTGACATTAGAAGACTCACACTGGATATGGACAGTACCTTCTGAAACCAGCATGGATAGAAAATGTGGCAGAAGGGAGTTCATCTTACCATTTGCTCTCTTAGCCTCCATCTTGCTGGGATTAGTCTGCCCTGTTGCTGCTTCTTTCACTGATGGCAGAACCATTGTTTCCCAGCTGTTGTCCTGGACTAGGACCTTGGAACTTTCTAGACTTCCAGTGCCAGATTGTGACTAGGAGGCACCCAGTCTTATAGAATGAGCAACTACTGGTTTATCTGTTGATCAACTTATCCCCATGGAAAGACAGCCATTGTGATACTATTCTAAAAGCTAAGACACCCAGCTTCAGAATACCAGGTTCTCAGACCACTGAAGCAATATTTTAAGTGGTACTATTTTAAAACCTACCTCTGTGTATGTGTGTGTGTGGGGGGGGGGGTAAGAAGGATATACACATACATATTCATGTGTATATATGGATATATATATATATATATATATATATATAACTAATGGGATATATATATCCCATTAGTTTTTTCCTTTAGAGAAGCCTAATATATTATATATCCTGCTATTTATGAAGTAAAATCCATTTTGTAGAATTCTTATGTGAGCCAATACATTCATTTCTTTAATGAGGAAGTTTATTAGATCTTGTAACTTTTCATTTAAGGTATTCAGGGGACTTTTGGTTTTGTTTGTTTGATGTTTTTCTAAACACTGTTTCTTTGCACAGCTCTGGTTGTCCTGGAACTAGCTCTATAGACCAGGCTGGTCTCGAATTCACAGAGATCCTTCGGCGTCTGTCTTCTTCATTTCAGTTTTTTGTTTGCTTTTTTTAAACAAAGCTTCCCACTATATGCCCTAAGCTTGCCTCAAATTTCCAATTTTCCTACTCCAACCTCCCAAATGCTGAAATGACATGGTGGCGCCAGCATTCTAATCCCTCTTAACTGTTCTCACAATCATATTGGTGGCAATTATTTGAGGAAGAACATACGGAATTGCCAAGGTCATTCTCTTTGACAAGAGCCTTTTAAAAATTGATTAGTGTATATTCAGGTAAAATTTCCTGGATAGTAGTTTTCATTTATGAAGTGGCATAATATTAAATAACATCGCTGAAATTTAAAATTTAAAAATTAATAAAAAGGGAAATACAAGTGAAATTGCTCTTGTATGTTTCAGCATCAATATGACTTAAATTTTACTGATATATTAGGCCTCCCCTAAGGATAAACTGATAGAAACCAACAGAAAGACTCTTTTCCTAGTTTTGTATAAAGGTAGATATAAGCTGACCCATAGACATAATGTCAATACCAATTCACTCTTCTGTTGTTGAAGAGCATGGGTCAAATTTTTATATCTTCTGTTAGGACTACAGTATGTTCTTCCTAAGTTCATATAATGAACTAGTAATTTCCAGTGTGACTGTGTTTAGAGCTATGGCCTTTACAGAGGAATTCATGCCTAAAGACTTGATAAAAGCAGAGTCCTAGTTCAGTATAGTTGGTGCTTTAGCAGGGGAATGTCATATGATCCTTAGAGGTCAGACTGCCTTTGTGGCCAACAGCAAGCCAAGCAGAGAGGTCTCCAGAGAAATCAACCCTGCGGGCACTTCAGTCTTCGACTTCTAATCTCAATAAGACCAGTCAGTTTATTCTGACAGTACAAGAGCAGTATCATGTTTTACGTTTCCCTTTTTCACATATGTTTTATGTTTGAGTATTCATAGGTAAGAGAGCAAATAATAGGGAAACTTGAAAGAGCAAGCTTTTCTTTCATTTTTAGGTGGGAAATAAAGGTATCACATCTGCTATACTGTGATTTGAACACATCAAAAACTTCTTTAAAAGGATTGCTCTTTAGCTGGGCATAGTGTAAAATGCCTTTAATCCTAGCACTCAGGGAGCTGAGACAGAAGGATCTCTATATTGAGGTTAGACTGGACTGTTTAGTGAGTCTTACCTCAAAAGGATATTAAGTGGATTATTATATTTTCTTACTTAAGGGTTTGGGATGTTGGTTAACATCGTCAACCTGAGAGAAACTAGAATCACTGGGGAGACAAACCTTTGGGAATGTCTGAAGGAGAGTTTATAGAGTGCATTCAGTGAGACAGGAAGACCAACCATAACTGTGGGAGACACCTACAGAAGTTTCAGGATTCTCAGAGTGAATAGAAAGAAGGAAAGTAAGCTCAGCACCAGTATACACCTCTCTCTGCTTCCTAACTATGGACAAAGCACTGCCAGCTTTCTCATGTTCCTAACTCCAGAATTTACGTGCCATTACGTTTTATGACACCCTCAAACTGTGAGCCAAAGCAAACCCTTCTTCCTATAAGGTGCTCCTGTCAGAGCGATGAGGAAATTAATTAACAGATAATCCAACTCAGTGGCATAGCATTTACTTTACTGTAAAAAGCCCCAGATATGCTTACAGCTAAAAAATGCCTGATTTTAAAATTTCAAAATATTCATTAAGTATCTATTAGGCTTCTTAGCAAATATTAATAAAATTTATTCAACTGGTTTCTTTCTGTGACTGGAAATCGGTGTTCTCCTGATGAACAAATTGAATTCTTGTGCGTGTTGTTAGTGTGGTTCTGAGAAATGGAGAGAGGATCATTGCGGAAGAAGAGGTCTAAAGAGTGTAAGAGTGAGCAGTGCCAATGACGATGAGGAAGCAATGTCTCCTGGATATAGGAGGACAGCTGCACATAAGTCACAGTGGCTGTGGCAGCATGCACAAGACTGGTTCATGCTCAAGTCAGACCAAATCATGGCATGATAAGGGGGGACTGGGAGAGAAGTCACACCCCAGATAAGGAGCTGGTGATTGATAGCTACTGGAAGACAGAGCGTCAATTTCTCCTGGTAAGTTGATGATACTCCTGTGGTTACATCCAAGAATAGATAGGTGACACTAATTGGTCTTGATATATTTTTTAAGAAACAAAGTTGCGGTTTGTAGAAAAGCACGGTTGGATCTTGGAAGGGTTGGGAGAAGGATGGTAAATATGATCCAAACACATCACATGAAATTATCAAAGAACTAATAAAATATTAAAAATTAAAATTAGAAGACTAAATGTAGTTATGATAGGAGAGAGTTTCGTTTAGATGATAGTTTATAAGAGAACATTTAATTAGTTTGCTGGAGACTAATGAATCATGCTATAAACCATATGGAGCTTTATGAAAATATTGTGCATAGAAAACTGAATATTTGTGTTCTGTTACACTTGTCAGCATTCCAAGGAAGTGAGAATTCAGACTTCCACAAAATATCAATAAGAAACACATCCATTTTACCACACAATTCACAATGGAGGCTTTTAAATTGTCCTGCAACATTCCAGGAATTCACATATTTTACTCTGAAGTGTCTTAATCCGGGGTGCAGATTTAAAGGAGGGATAGAATAAGAGGGACCCAGCTTAAGTCCAAGCTCAGTATTGCAGAGATCCTCCTGCACATGTCCTATGCAGTCAAGCTTGCTTTGGTCTAGGGAATTGAACTTGAGAGCCAGTTTCTAACTGTGGCTCATTTCCAGACAAGACAGGATGAGAAGACCAAATAATAGGCTGTATGTCTCTACTTATAAGGCACTTGAATGGGAACAAATAGATGATCCTGTGTTCCTATGAAGCATAATTCCCCACTGTGGCACAGAAGACAGTATTTCATGACTAGAGATGGGTGCAGGGAGATTCTTGGTTCCTCCAAGGTTATAGAAGGATGTATAGCATCCATGCTAGGCCTCTTTTCTCTTTCTGAACCCATGTCCACACTGGACATACTGGATGAACATCAAATCTGCTGGTACAAATCCTGCAAAGAATTATAGTGACTTTTCCTTTCTAGTTGGATCTGGTGAAGTTCAGGCTGTGAGAGTCTTTGGGGAGACATACTGAACAGGGCAAGCTAACTACTTATCCATTGCTGATTTAAATCTCTGGTTCCATTTACAAGACATATTAAATAGTGTTATTAAGGACCACACATAGTGTGTTAGGGAAATGTTGTATGCTTTTATTAACAACTGGGAGGATCATTAGAAGCTATAGACAAAACGCAGTTGTCGTAAAAGTAGGTAGCATTTGTCTAATTTACGGAGAGCTATTTCTGCTCTGCTATAATGTACCTTGTTTTGCTGGCCCATAAGTAGTGCTCCTGTGAAAAGTACATTCTGGAACTTGAGAAAAAGAAAACACTTTAAGTGCAAGGAGGCATCAAAGCAGCCAATGATACCAGAAAATGTGAACACTGAGTCAGTTACCGAAATAAAGGTACACTATTAGCAGGTAGCTTTCCCCAAGGTGCAAGTAAGTAACTCTCATTAGTGATAATGGAAGTCTTGAGAGCACTTTCAGGAAGACGATGTGTCTGAGTAATAGACTTGAGGGAGAGAATGCAGGCAACGTGTGCAGTAGTTATGTTGGTGGAAACATAAACAAAGATGACTCAATAGTACACCTTTGGAATTTGACCTAGTCTATAGATTTTCAAATTATATGGCTCATTCTGGAAAATGGAACTGCTAATTGCAAATATCCTCTCTCTTCTTCCACCTCCAAACCCTCCATATAAAATATTTGTAGTATTACCATACATAAAAAATTTGACTCTTTTGGAAGCATTTCACAGAGTCATGAATATTTGGAAACTGGTTTGAATTTGCCCTGTTTTCCTTTATTAGCAGTTAACATTAGATTCCAGTTCATTAAACACCGATACTAATAGCACTTACCCCAATGGCTTTCTGAGTATTAGGTATGAAGATGCATCAAAAGTACCCTGTACACAGCAAGCATCCTCTGAATGTTCATTATCATAGTTAGTGATGGGAGAAGGAAGTTTTAACTTAAGTCAACTGAATGTTTTGAGACAGACCAGAAGTTTATTTACGATTGAGTTGAGTTCTCAGTACAGATCATAGCAAATGCATTTTTTCACAACATTGTAGGAATTTCAGAATAAGATTCCAAAGATTAACATTGAATCTCTCCTTTTGATAATGTGCAGAGCTGGCTGACGCAGCACAGATAAGCTTCAGAACTCTTTAAGATGGTGCCTCCCAGTGTTTGCTTATATGGTACCCTTGCTTGACAAAAACACTCTTTCTAGTTAGCAAGGCATTGAAACATGTCATTTGTCACTTTTCATCATATATGATAAAAGTTGGGATAATTGATGCCTTTGAACAGGGCACTTGGAATCTGTTTCTATCTGAAGAGAAAGATAGAGCTGTCTTTGTTAATTTGGGAAGTTCAGGTTAATATTACACACTTCAGCAACCATGCTTAGTTTTGGAAGACAGATGCCTTGAAAACGGAATTCCTACAATTTTCCTCTCAGCACACCTGGGACCAGGGTCATTCTGTATGAAGCCAAAGTTGTCCACAGCAATGCTGTCTGGCACAAGAAAATAGTCACACACACTCCACAGCCCAGCCAATTAAGTTGCATGCCCAAATCCAATTTTTTTCTAGATGTTTGCACAGAATTGCTAGTCTGTTGGTACTGTAGACTACTACAATCACTGGCTAATTCCCTTTTCATTTCCTTTATGATCAGATTTGATCATATCTTGATGGCATGCAGACACAGACAGAACCTACTACCAGTGACAATGCCAATTTTTTGCTACCATTTTCAAAACTTTCTCAGCAAATGTCCTGGACTCAGGTTTCACTCTATGAAGCCCAGACTCTTGCTTTATTAGATTGACATTTTGTTCTGACCTCTGTCAGCAGACACGGCCTCTGGTTTAGCTGCTTCTCTTACTTGTAACTAGTACTCTTCTGCTGTGCTAAGACAAATTTACTGATTTATGATCTGGGCACACTTGCACTGCTGGTCCATCATACATAAAAATACGGTCTTATTCTCTAACATCTCTCTTTTCTCCCAAAACATATATACGACTCCTGGCATTTCTATTTTTCTTTATGTTCTAATATGATTAGAGATTTAATATGTCTGCATTAAACTGGCAAAGGACAGCTGTTACATTCAGAAGGATTGCTATGAATCATTCCTTTGATTTTAAAGGTCTTTATGATTTTACAGAACATTTTCACACATGTTGTTTGGTCCCCACAACAACCCTGTGAGGTAGGAAGGGACATCATTTGGCAGAGCAAAAAATGGAAAAAATGAGATACACATAGGCATACAATTAGAATTGTGCTGCTATCTTAATGCTGTGGACCTTAGGGTTTAGTGTTAAGACATGAAAAAAAAAAAAAGAAAACCCTGGCAAATATTCTTTGTTGACTCACAGAGAGGTATCAACATGAAAACTTCATGAGATCTTATGTCTTTATTATTCTTATATTTTTCTTTTCTTTCCTTCTCCTGTGATGCATTTTTCTATAAAATATCTCCATGTCTATTGTAATATTTATTTTCTAGTATATACACTTAAAACATAAAATTCAAGTAAATGTAAAGAGCTTTCTAGAATAAAATCTTTGACTTTTTTTCATGCTCAAATGTTTTTGTTTGGAATGAATAGGCAATTAATGAAGTTAGGTTTGGTTCTCATTTAAACATATTGAAGAAATTATCAAAGTATGTTTTATCTCTTTCTCTACTCTCTCTCATTTGATTTGTATTGGAGAATAAGAGCGTAGCATTGTGAAATAAGCAATAAAAATAACGTTATTTCTAATATAAAAGACACTAAGAGTATCTATCTTCTTTCAGTGTCTATGCCTCCCTATTATTTTCCTAGGGTAGTCTTTTGTGGTTTGTTTGTAACTGGTATATTTATATCTATAAGTTTAGAAAAACATATTTATTAATATTTCTGACTTCACAACATACACGTTGAACTTATGCTAAATGAATGAGTGAAAGAATGGATGGATAGATTTTCTTTTCTTCTATCCCTATTTCTATTTGAGAATGATGTCTTGATATTAAAGAACCCAATGGGATAAATTGAATTCCACAAGATTAGGTGAGTGAGCAGCAGAAGGGCTGAAGGAAGCAAGAACATTCCAGTAGACAGCATATGAGTGCATCTAAGTGAAGGGTGCCAAGGGATGGTGGTTATTATAGCAGAGTACATGATGGTATACATATGGATTTGGGAGCCTTCACAGCACCCAGAGTCATGGGAAGAGGTCTTGAAGAGATCAGGCAATGACATGACACAGGAGCCAAAGTCATTTGAAGGAGCTGCAGAAAGATCCCAGAAGTCAGTTGTTCTGATGGCTTGTCCAGAAGTGAAAGGTCTTTTAAGGAGATGATAGTGGAACATTCTGCTCAACCCACCTGATCTTAAACAGGTCCTGACCCAATGTGATCAGGTACATAGGTAAAAGAGGAAATCAGAATTATTTTATTATATTTCAATAATACATGAATTATTAAAGTATACTTTGAATTAATTCAATATACATTCTAAGATCATGACTAAAATGTGGAGATCTGAGTAATTTCATACAGAATAATCTATAGAATCACTGTTGAGGCATTTGCAAGACCTCTTTGTAAAATGCATATAACCTTCAACTATTGATTATACTTCTAGTAATTCCTATATTTCACAACATTCTCACAAAGTATCGTAGGAAATGGTGAACAGAACATTGATTATTAAAGCCAAACCAAAGCAATAAAAAATTATTGACAATTTAAGAGTAAGGAAATAAATGGCTACATTGTGGTAATTGTGATATCTCTGTAATTTTTTGTAGTATTTTGAAAAATACCTAGTCACTGAGAGAAAAGAGGCCAAAGCACTTGTGGTTCATATTAAACACAGAAACCCAGGACCTTTTATGTTAGATGCGTATGCATATTATTGTTTCTTCTTTTGGAGTGTTGTGGAATTGCTTTACATTCTCTCTGGGGGACATGGAGAAGAATCAAAGGGCTGTTTACAATCAAGTGATGTGGTTTACAATCTATAGATTAAAGGTAGAGAAGTTCTTTATGTGCCACACTCAATTACGGTCAATGTTTCAAGGCTCTGACAAAGTCTCAGGGAAAGGTGATGAGATCAAGACACTTTATATAAACTGTGAGAAAAGAAAGACATAGACAAGGATACACAGAAACTGAAGAACTAGGGGCTGATAAGAGATCAACTGAAACTAGATGGGATGAAAGAGAAAGGAGATAAAGGGCCATTAACAAGCAACCAGCAGAGAAGTGGCCACCTGAAAGGAAACAAGGACAAGGGACTTTATGTTGCCTTAATATGCTAAGAGCAGTGGGGAAAGCACCCAAGTACTGAGGATTCCACCACTCCTATGTGTTGCTCAGCTTTGAAAACATCATAGTCGGATTAGACTGCAATGGTTCATAACAGTTATAACCCCATGTTGCCTAATTGTGCCATCTGTACAACATATTAGGCTAAAGTAACTTTTTGGGTAACAAGGAAATACTGATTCTATATTTTGGGGAAAAAAAAAAAGGATCCCAGCTAAAACCAGCAAGGTTTTGTTAATAAAGACTTTACCATGATCTGTCTAAAACAGACTTCCGAACAAGGAGGGCATGGCTGTGGCTCATACCAGACATGTTCACAACATGCATCTCACATGTAGACTCTCTTTGGAAGACAGGTTGGCACTCTTTGATTTCAATAACCCAAGTGGGGTATCCATTTCTCTTCACAATTATTACGTTAATGTATATTCATCCTATACACATAACAAAATTACTTAGAGCCTAGGAAACTATTACCATCTCAGTAGATACTTAATTTTTAAAATCTGATACTCAGGTCTTTTGCATTTCAATGAAAAGTTTTCATTACAATGGAGCTTCCTGATGTGAAAGATATTCCTTTGAAGGTTGGAAAGTCTTGGATGTATAATGTGACATTTTCAAGGTTTTAGTAAAAACAAAATAAAACAAAAGCCCTAGCTCCCTGGGAATTGCTCTGTTAAGGTCTTCAAGTTGCCCACATGTCTATATATGAGCTTTTCATGGGCTCACGTAGTGTGTAAGTGGACTGTGATTGTTTCTATTCAAAAGCTTAATTTTCTTTCAGAGGGTAAAAATTGACTTGAAAATTGGACAATTTTCTATGAGATTTTTTTTCTTTAGAAAATAGTGCTAATCAAAAAAGAAGAAGAAAAACAGAATACAAATGCATAATGAGTTTGAAAGAGTTGTGTAATCTAATCTATTTGTTTTATTCTAATTAGCATGTTTTATTTGGAAAAAACGGTGGCTGGCTTCTCCAGAAGCTCTGTAGATCAATGCTAAATCTCTCAATTTTTGTTTTAGGCTTACACTACTAATATCAAATTCTAACTTTATTTTAAAAAGAAAGTGACGTAGAAAACAAGAAGTCATGAACTTACTTGATATGCTTGCACTGCCCTTTTCTCCCTTTTGGCCTTTAGGTCCAGGATATCCTTAGGGGGGAAAATAACAAAAGAGAAAAGAATCAGTTCAACAGAAAATGCTGATATCTTACTCTGCTTCTCCACCACCTCTTTCTTTTTCTCTTTATTATTTTTCATTTTGGTGTGCTGGAGATTGTACTCAAGGCCTGTGTATACTAAACCCATGCTATACCACAGAATTTGTTTTAAATGGAAATAGGACACCACAAAATAGGATACCAATTTACAGCAACTTATAGTTAGTCAAATATAATAACCATCCCATGCTGATAATGATGAAGGCCACTTCTGAAACCCCATTATAATTTTAGTATTATAACATTTACAATTATTTACAAGGGTGTGATATATCCCCTTTTCACAAAACAGGCAAAACTGAATTGTAGTATAATTTCGCACGTTCGTTTTCATTTTCCTCTCTATCTGACCTTCCTTTTCCCTCCTCCATCAGCTCAACATCTTCTAACTCATCCCACATCTTTACTATTTCCCATTACAAATTTATTTTCTGTCTCATTATTTATTCATTTGCACCAGAACATCCTAAAGACTAGATTTTATAAGTCCAGGGACTTGATGGAATTCTAATGACTCCTTTCCTAAGTGTTCATTGGTCCCTTAATTCTGTAGACTAATCACATCTGGCTATGAGAATACCTACCTACTTACATAGGGATTGTAGCCCAAGTGTTACATAAGGGTCAGTGATTCAAACTTAGAAGTAAATATGGAAATGTTCATCATGGGTCAGACTCCAACATTTTAATTTTTAAAGAATACTCCTCCTTAATAAAGAGTATTACCAAATTTTCAGTTTGTTCAAGAAGAAAAATAAAAGATCTAAAAATGTAAATGGGAGAGAAGTAATATTTATTTATGATGAACATTTATGATTCACCATTTCTTTTCTTCACAGAGAAAGAGCCACGATATAAAACTCAGTTTCAACATTTCAGCTCGAATTTCATGCTTAGGAAGGAGAAATAGTTGCGCAACTGCTGCCACTGTTTCTATACAGTGATGTCTATACAGTAAAGCTACGGTTTCTATACAGTGTAACACCAATGTTACACAGAAAATGATTCCAAGAATACCCTCTGATCTGCCTAACCATCATGGCCCGTTCTCTAGACACCTGGAAACCAGAGATGTATTTCCTAACTCCACAACTTTGCCTTTTCCAGAAGAGCACACAGTTGGAATCTTCAAGTTTAGTATTTTCAGATAAACTTCTTTCAGTTGGCAATATGCATTTAAGATTTTTCCATATAATTTTGTGGCCTGATTGTCTGTTACTCTTTGTCGCTAATTATGATTCTGCTTTCTGCCTTCTTCACAACTTATTTATCCATTCATGTATTGAAGTGTGGTAGAGGTTGGTGTGTTCGTAGTGTTTAGGTGGATCACAACTTATCTTGCAACTAAAAGTCTATTCTGTAACACTATAGAAATGAAATGTTGCTCACGTGCCAGACTTCATACAATATGGAACACAAGGAGTGAACCATAACGTACTCAATGACTTCTGTTAATAATTATGAACTATTACTGGCTTAATACTTGTGTCAAATGTTTCCTCTGTATGTTTAAGGAGAGGTGTATGAGAAATGAATGCCTTCCTTGACATTTTCCTATAAACCTATAAGTGATAAAATCTATTAAAACTATCTTAACAATATAGACTGTATTCCCTTGGTATTATTATCATTTGAAATGGGAAAATAAGCTTATTACCTGCTGATGTTGTTATACAAAGAACACAATCCAATATTAGTCTATTAGTATAATTAGTTGTAATAACACTTGCTTTCTATGCAAAAGAGACATTGCTGAGCAATGTTGATTATTATGCACTAATATGCAAGATAAATCCATTAATTTTGTTATGAATATGTTTTTCAACTGGGACTTACCAAGATTTAGCCAATTGTATTCTAAAGGTTATTTATACTGTTTGCTTCTTTTTCTTGGTAGTCTTTTGACTATGCTTATTGTATGGTTCATAGTGTGCTGCTATTGTGTAAAATGAATAGATTGTGTGTGTGTGTGTGTGTGTGTGTGTGAATGTGCATGTATGATCTGTGTATAAAATCTGTGAACTATTGTATTTTTGGAGCATAGGAAGTTTACTCTGATGAGTAAAAACTAATTTCAATTGATTTTAGACTATAAATTTTACTATTTGAGTGCTGCTATTTTATAAGTACAATTTTTTTATGCAAACATTTTAGAAACACTACCAATGATCCAGTGTTTATTTGCATACTCTGTGATAACAACCATAGCTTTACAATACCTGACCTCCCCGCCTTTCCAGGTGGCCCTGGGTATCCTCTATTTCCAGGGATGCCAGCTGGACCCCGATCACCTTTAAGGCCTGGAGGACCTGCATGGTTAATAAAGAAAACAAAAATGTCTAGCAATTAATTTTCAAACATATTTGAGCACCCACACCCAAAATATGAAGTAAGTGAGTCTCTGAGGAGAGTATGACATTTTCTAACCATTCACACATTCCATTGAAAGATAATATAATAAATGATATAAATTTGTTGCAATGAGTGTGTTACAGTCAGTGAAAAGCACATTGTTAATCAACAAAAAGCACTACATTTTCCGTTTTAGCCAGAAAGCTACTATCATCTGTCAGAAAATATCAAGTGGCAGATATATCTATAACTTGTATAAAAAAATTTTGAAGCTAAGCGTTTTAATATTTACATTAGTAAAAATACAATAAAGCAGTAAAAAGTGAAACGAGTGTTTATTTAAACACCACAACCTTGAATTACTTATGACTATGAAATACACACTCATATATTGAAATCTGAAAATCACCATTATTTTAGCTTATTACTTCAAGGTGACTATGAACACTCCATGTGCAGAAAAGTGGCTGCTATGAAATAAAGTATTTGTCGTAGAGTGAGAAAGTTAACATAAGCTAACATTAAAAGAGCTTGTGTTCTGTTTTACCTTGTTTCCAGTGTTGTTATCAGTTTACTGAGAATCATTAATGCAATTTTCATTTGCTTCCTCATGGAATCATGTTATAACAAATTGTTTGTACCCCTTACTTCAATGTCAAACTTTATAAATATTGCCTTTGTTTACAAGATGAAGCAGAATTTGCATGTATTTAACCCCCTAAAAATGTTTTCTATGCATTTACACATATATCTAAAACTGGATAAATTATCTTTAAAATGCTATGTTTAAGAAATATATAATGGAGCACCAGATCCAAGATGGCGGCCAGCAGGAGGCTGATGAAGGAGCTTGAAGAGCTCCGCAAATGTAGAATGAAAAACTTCCGTAACATCCAGGTTGATGAAGCTAATTTATTGACTTGGCAAGGGCTTATTGTTCCTGACAGCCCTCCATATGACAAGGTGGCCTTCAGAATTGAAATCAACTTTCCAGCAGAATATCCATTCAAACCACCCAAGATCACATTTAAAACCAAGATCTACCACCCTAACATTGATGAGAAGGGGCAGGTCTGTCTGCCAGTAATTAGTGCTGAAAATTGGAAGCCAGTCACCAAAACCAACCACGTAATCCAGTCCCTCATAGCACTGGTGAACGACCCCCAGCCTGAGCACCCACTCCAGGCTGACCTAGCTGAAGAATACTCTAAGGACCGTAAAAAAATTCTGTAAGAATGCTTTAGAGTTTACAAAGAAATATGGGGAAGAGCGACCTGTGGACTAAAATCTGCCATGAGTGATTCCAGCAAGTTTGAGCAGAGCCCCCCAAGCAGAGCATTCAGACACCCCGCAAAGCAGAACTCTGTAGAAAATTGACACATGCTACCACTTGGCATCCGCTTGTGGCAGTTACTAACTTTCTACAGTTTTCGTAATCAAAAGGGGTCTAGGTAACCTGTAAAGTAGGATTAAAAAATTCAGATGTTCTAAAAAAAAAAAAAAAGAAATATATAATGACAAATAGTTAAAAAATATTATTCAAATCATTACAAAATGTTTATTCTAACAGAAATTAGGCATGTAATCTAAATAAATGGCATTATATAATAAAGGCAGGCCATTATAAATCACCAATGAGCAATACCAAATATTGCATGTACACTTTGTAGTGTATATTCACTTGAGTTTTTTAGCATGTAATCTAAAATAGCTTAACTTAGTCTACCTGGGAAAACTGACATTTAGATATTTCTTCATTATGCCACCTGACATCTGTCCTTACGGTTATTGAGAAATGTGGTTTGCATGTACAGTGCCTCCTAAAATGCTCAGATAGTGAAGTTTGGCAGTGTTCTCATGAGTGGAAGGCATCACAAGGGGTTCTGACTTTACAGTGCGTTTTTAACCAACCAATACCATCAGTACTGATTACTAGTAAGTAGGGCATAACTTAATACCCTGCAAGCTCCATGAAGGACAAACTGTACAGCTGCTTCCTTGTTCTCCATATAGTACTGCATGCAACCAATACACAGTATATACTTTTAGAGTGAAAAGCAATACACCATTCTCTAGACATATTTCCAGGAGACTGGTACTATAAAATGAATTATTATTGTATTGCCTCAATAAAAAGTACATTTTAATCTACTATGCACCCTAGAGGATGTCTAATGATTGTAATGCATTAACTACTTAGGGTCCCTATTGTAGGGCCCGGTCTCCCCTTACTCCCTGGGGTGCGTCTCGAGGACTGTTTTGGTTAGCCAGCTAAGCTTCCTGCTAGTTTCTGTTCTCTCTGCCATAGCCTGGTGATTTAGCTGTAGGGCATTGTTTCATCTTTGGTATGGTAATTTCCCATCAGCCCAGGAGGAGTGCCTATAGGGTGCCAGGTTCTTTCTCCACTGCTCTCTGCCCCCAACCCCCTGCCTGGGAAGGAATCCCCACACAGCACCAGGTTCCTTTACTGGGGCCAAGTATATTAGTTTGGCAAAAAGGTGAATAAAGTGGCATTTGGCTCCTGACGAATGACCCAGGTCTCTTGTGTGTGTGTGTGTGTGTGTGTGTGTCTTTATTTCAATCTCCAGGCCTTTGCCCAAACTCGCATGAGGTACGGAGGCATGCGAACCGTACTGAGAGGGCAACGCAGAATTAGTGGTACACCCTATGGTAACCACTACAGTTCTTAAGATATTTCTATCACGGCTGTAGGAGGAAGTATTTGGTATGCTGAGTTTAAAGATTTAAATAACAGTATATATGGGGCTTTGATGAAAGCAGAATTATGATTATCATCTATCGTTTAGTTCCAGTGTTTTGGTATCGAATTTGAAGCAACCAGACCAAACACTGAACAGAGTACAGCAATTAAGTGTGTGTTGGGGGAATCCTATCTGTTTTACGTTTGGATAGTCTGATATTTTGTCAAACATCAAATCAAATATCAGCCCTCTACCAGAAAGGGCTGTTATCAACCAGGAACTATAATTGACTGTTATGAGGAAACTGCACAGTGCCTATTTGTGTAAATGAGCAGTGTCATTTTATGATAAACCCTTGTTCTAATTCATCTTCACTGCCATCTTGATTGGATCTGGAATTTGAGTAAAAGAGGAACCCTTGTGTGTGTTGGGGGCAGAGGGTCCAGTGAGGGCATTCTAAGTAGAAGCAACCAAGGGAGAGGGAAGTCCCTCTCCTGGACTGCATGGCACCTTCCAGCAGCAGCTCAGCAGTGATAAACGCAAGAGGATTGCACCGTGCTGCCTGCTGTGTGCTTTGCTTCTAGCAGATGAGAGTTTATTCTGCCGATGCGGCTACTGCTACTGTTGCTGTTGCTACTGTGGCCAATGTTCTTTCCTGACGTCAAACTCCAGCTTCTTGATGTTTCAACATGAACTGAAGAAAGAATTTTCTAAATAAACTTTAGCTCCAGATGAGGATTGTTAAGCAGTCAGCATTATGAACTGAGTAGCCAACGGGTTCTCTTCCTCTCCAGTGTGAAGATAGCTGTTGAATTATTTAGCACCTATTGTGTAAGTCAACTTAATAATTCTGTTTTTCCTTTTCATTGAAAGTAGATTTTTCTTTCATACAGTATATCCTTAGCATAGTTCCCCCTCCCTCCACTCCTTCTAGCTACCTACTTTCCCTCTCCTCCAGATTCACTTCTGCTCCTTTTCCTCTTCAGAAAAAAGAAAAAAGTCTCCAAGAGATGACAGCCAGACTTGACAAAATAAGATACAATAAGATAGACCAAAAGTCATCATATCATGACTGAACAAGCAAGCCAACAGGAGAAAAAGAGTCTCAAAATTAGACAAAGGAGTCCAAGACACACCCTTTCCTACTGTTACGAGTTCTAAAAAACCACCAAGCTAACAGCCATATCATAGTCTCAGAGGACCTGGTACTGACCCATGAAGGCTCTGTGCTTGTTGCTTCAGTCTCTGTGAGCTGATGTTAACCCTTCTCAGTTGACTCGGTCGTCCATGTTTGCCTGGTGTCCTCGATCCAGCTCTGACTCCTACAGTCTTTCCTCCCCATCCACTGTGGGGTTTCCTGATGTCTGAGGAGAGAAGCCTCTCTCTCTCTCTCTCTCTCTCTCTCTCTCTCTCTCTCTCTCTCTCTTTCTCTCTCTCTCATATTGTGCATCATTCTGTTCAACTGGATGACCCTAATTAATTTGGTAGGAGACATGGTATATTTGATTTGACATGGTGTCTGTTTACACTAGGAACTTAAACTGAAAAGTTCAAATGCTATTCTATCTCACACATCTGCATACCAGAAACTTAGAATAATGCCTTCTAGATGTTGCTTGTACAGTAAATCATGAACCACACTGACTTTCTATGCTTGTGTTACAGGGTTTTAGAAACTATGCTTCATAGTAGGGGTAGTTTCTTACAGACCTTGAAAACAGTGGTTTGGGCAATAATGTTGACTGATTCTCCTACTTAAGATATGATTGAATTTTTTCTTAAGATGTGTAGATTCTTCAACAAGTAGAAGGACTTCGTGGGATAAAAACACTTATCTACCATTATTGTCAAATACACACATTCACTGGCTTACAGAAAGAATAATATACACTCTTTATAAATAGAGGTATGAATATATGTGAGAGATGATAAATAGGTAGATACATAGGTAGGTAGGTAGGTAAAGAGTTTACTGCTATTTTTAGTATTTCAAGTATAAGATACACAATAATATAATTATATGATAGATTTTATTCTTGCTTTTCAACTTGGGGCATTTTTTCTCATGTGATTTTGGCTAGTCAAAATATTTATAGAAAAAAGAATGTTTATTTCATCTAAAGAGGAAAAACTAAGAACAAATCCAAGGTATTTAGATAAATTGACTAGTAAGCCTTTCTAATTGTGTTTAAATCATTCAGTCTATTTTATTTGCAAACAGTATGAAGGGAATTTGTTTGCAAAGGATGGCAAATGAATGCATGGCAATAACATTGTTTTTATTATTGGCTACAGAATTGTTTTTTGAGCAAAGAAAGTTCATGTTCTCGCTCCTTTTTTATGTCCTCTATAATCTTTATTCAAAACATTGCTTTCAAGACTATGACATCCTTAGAGGAAAATAACTAAGCACAATTTTGTGACTCATTAATGTTTCTATATAACTGGAAAAATCATAGCTTTCAAATTAATTCAATGTGAAGGTGATTTTCTTATTCTCCTTCACATTTAGGTTTACATGAACAATATATTGCATATGGTCTCTATGAAAGCCATCAGACTCAAAAACAAGCTCATGTAGTAACTGTTGCTAAATCATTAAATAATGTACAAGAGTCAGTAATTAGTGCTTGGGCTAGAGAGATGATCCAGTAGTTAAAAGCACTGGCTGCTCTTCCAGAGGACACATGTTTAATTCCTGGAACTCATATGGAAACTAACAATTATCTGTAACTCATATTCTCTGAGATCAGATACCCTTTTCCCATCTCAAAAGATACCAGATGTGCACACAGTGCACAGACATATGTGCAACCAAAACATACACATAAAATAATAAAATACTTTAAAATAAACTAATGCTCACCATTTAATTTGCCATGTGGTAAGGATGCTAGAACACATTACATTTTTCAACACATGAGACAATTTACAAGCACTCACACACAGCTACACCACAGAAAAGATGAAATGGACATTCATCCCTAATCACAAACATGGATACACATCATTCAACCTCACGGTATATGATTAAGTGATTGCTATGTCCTTACCTTTTAAACCCGGAATGCCAGGTAGACCACTTACTCCAGTGAGCCCTCTGTCTCCCTTTTCTCCTGGAGGTCCAGGAGGTCCTTTAAGAAGCACAAGTATCGACTATAATTATAAAGCATGGGTAAAATTATCATTTATCAAGATAGTCATATGGAAATCCAAATATTCCTATTTGCTGTACATTAATATAAAATGAATAACTCTGACCTTTCTAAATGGCTAAGTACTCTGATGTTGAGAACTGTAATGGCCTCATCTGAGAAAAATGTCATATCCTCAAATTAAATCACATAAATACTGTTGTGAGGTTAATATTTTGCTAGGTTATAATAAACTGGTAACAGAGAAATGGTCACTGTGACAGCACAAAATAACATAAATATTGTGTACATATTAAAACTTAGATTTGTAATACTATTGATGGGAATAAATATACATATGTATATGAATGTGTGCATGAGTATGTGGGTGAATGTATGTACTTGTCACAACAATGAAAGGAATAGAAGCCATAAATTTGAAAGATAGGAAGTAGGGTACAAGGGAAGAGTTCGTCAGAAAAAATGGAATGGGGGAAATTAATGGATTATATTTTAATTTAAAAACCTTAAAATCTATAAAATAATTGTTGATAAAGTTGGGCTATTCCTTTTCTAGGTGGAATGAGTAAACTGTAGACTATGTAGGCAATTACAAGGCTAATACAACAAACAAAACTGGAAAATTGTGAAAGTACAACAAATATCTAATATAAATATTCTCCACCCAAAATTCCAGATTTGTGACCTCACAGACATTACAGACAGAGAGAGAAGAAGAATGAAGTTAAGGGCAACCAAAACCCACAGGAATAATTTCTACAAAATACACTGGGACATCTTATTATCATTTTGTACCTCTTATAGTTTTAAACAATTTCCAAACAAAATATTTGAAATTACAAACAAAATCAGATGGCTAGGTGGAATTCAATCGTAGAGTACCAACACAGCCTGTCCAAGACCCTAGGCTTTATTCCTAACAGTGAGTGTGAGAAAATGGTATATGTGTAAGCATGACCGTTATTTTCTTGTGTTCATTCCCTAAGAGAGAATACAGAGCAGATATCACACAATATTTTTCTTTTATTAGTTATAGTAACTAATTCTGCATCATTCAAAATACATAGAACAGAGAAAAATGCTGGGCCTTTTCAGATACTTGGTATACTTGGTATTCAGAGGCCCAATTCCCATGAATTATTATCCTCATAAAATAACCAAAATAATTATGAATGTAAAAATGTGTATGGAGTAACACAGTGAAAAATCAAGAGCCAACAAAGAAAATGATATCAAGATCATACCATTGACTTTTGCTAAGTGAACTTCCAAAACATTTTATGAATAAGGAAGATAACCTAGAAGAGTTGGATGATATAGATTTTTTAAAGGACTAATTGGCTAGTTCATGGGCAAGTTTTAATAAATTACTTTAATACAAAGTAAGATGAGCAATACAGACTAAACTCTGGTTTGTGAAAGTTCATAGCATAGGAATGAACCGTTAACTCATAGAGAGGGCACAAGGGAGTGTGTCATAAGCAAAGAACTTTCAGTTCCTTATATAACTCAGTTACCTTTTAAGATGCTGACCAGCATTAACGTATATTACAACATTTCAACAGCAATCAAGGCATATGGAGTATATCATAAAGTTTCCAAAACTTCTTTGGAAACTTTGAAGAAGAGAAAATTCAATAAAACCAATTCAAATCAACTATTTAAAAGACAGAACAAGAAAATGAGAGAGACATAACTCAAGCTGGAAAAAGAAAAAAAAATATATAAAAAAGGTAGCAGAAATAGATACAGGGAAAAGAAGTTATCAGGTCTTCAAATTCAAGAATTTTTACAAGAGATAAACTATAAGCACACAAACCAGAAAGTTAGAACTACAGAAACATATTCATAATGTGAAAATTATTAAAATTTATTATGTAGGCATAAATGATTTCTGCTTGCTAAAAGATGAGTAAGGTTCATTGGCACGGTAGAAGATACTGATATATCTAAGATTATCTTTAAGAATCCAAGAGGTGTTTCTAAATGACAGTATAGTCAGAAAAGAAGAAAAGAGATTTTTTGTGCTTTTATAGTTCTCTCTTTCTGATTTTTTTTGAGACAAGCTCTCACTGTGAAGCTTAGTCTGGCTTCAAACTTGTGGTGTCCTCCTGCCCCAGCCTTCCCAATACTGACTCACCATGTCTAGTTTTGCATTTCTCTTTAAGAAATTCTAGGGTGTGGGTGACATTACCATGCTTGCCCTCATATTAACTGTTCTTCTGTGCACAGTAACTGCATATTAACTGTCTGTAGTAACTACATTCTCAAAAATCATTTCCTTTAAATGACAGGATTTCAAATACCAGAGGTCTGCATATAAGGATATATTTTAATGTCTCATTTTTGGGACAAGATGTCTCACCTTGAATTAAGGTGATATTTTTCAATGTCTGTGAGTGTTCCCAGTCCTTCAGTCTGAGGTCATTAGTGATGTTATTCAAAACTTTCATTTCCTGTTTTACTTCCTGTTTCACATGTTCTTGTTCTTCTTTCACAGACTGGATTTCTGCTGATGCTTTGCGCACACGTTCCTCTAACTTATTGATGTCCTAAAACACACAGTGAGCATCGCAACCTTTGTTACATGCAATTAGGAAATATATAAGTGAACAGAGTTTTGGAAATTTGAATGTTGTAAAATCACATAACATTGGGCAAGTGCTATAAGATAAGAATAAGGAAATAAGTATTCAAAATTGCAGCTCTCTGGCTGCATAGCATTTCTTCTTCAAACTAAATGGTTCACTAAGATCCCTAGTCAAAACAAACAAAATCAGTTGCCTATACATCCAAGAATGCTTCTACTCTCAAATAAACTAATGTCAAATACTGAGAATTAAAAATAGCATCTTATCATAGGGGTTTTAATTTATCCAAAATGAAATTTCTTCACAGTTTATTTGGGGTTAAACATTCTTATTTTGTGATATTGTTTTATAGCAATAACTGAAGTTTAATGTAATTCTCAGTGATAATGATAGTAAGAACAGGGTTTCATATTTAGTAAGGTGTGCAAGTTGCATTTTCATAACATTTTACTCTCAAATTTTATTGCCTCTGCCATTGATACTTTTGTATTTTCATCGGTTATAAATAGACCATCTGTAGATGTATACATACATGCACACACAGTGTACAGATCTTTTCTTTTCTATATTTCTTTGGGATAGAATCTCATGTACCACTTGGCCTTAAATGTGCTATTTAGCTAAGGGTGATCTTCACCTCCTGATTCTCTTCGTCTAGCTTTTCAGGGCTGAGATTTTAGACATGTACTAGCCATCATGCACATATTCACATGTAGAAAATAGGAGCACAGTAAAGTCTCTCCAACATGACTGCCCATATGTTGGCTGAACAAGGATGGCACCAGTGAATGTGCCAAGCTGGACATAGAAAGCACAGGAGAAAATAAGGCTTCCACCCTACAAAAAGAACTATAAGTGACTGAGGAAATGGGAACAAGGAGCAGTGGCCCTCCCCAAGGAAGAGCATACCAATTGGTTGCCCAGTGCCAAATGGTAAGTCTGAAAATATACATACAGGTAGTGTTATACAGACTGAATAGGTTATATTTAGGAACACACATGTACATACATATATACACATAAAATAACAATTACTGAAAAAGTGGGTCATGGATTTGAAGAACAAATGGGAAAAGGTGTAGATTCTTGGAGGGAGGGAAGTAAGGGAGTTTTGTAATTAAATTGTGATCTCAAAAACAAAATTGCAAGAGCCTTTGCTGCTGTAATACTGTTACGTCTGCTTGCTTGTTTTGCAGTGCTGGGCTGAGCCCAGGGCCCTATGTCTGTTCTGTTATCATTCTATCACTGAGCAATAATTTATTATCTGGAAAATAGCTTCATCAGGAGTGTTCTTTTGTTGTTGAATCTCAATTTTTGAGATTGTAATTTAACTGCAATGTCTTCCCCCTCTTTCCTCTCCAGAAGCCCTCCCTGGTCTACTTCAAATTCATAGCAATTAAAGGAAAAAGAGACCATGTATGAATTTGAAGAACGATTCCTTACAGGGAAAATACATCATGCTGGTATTGTTTAAATATTGATAGAAATAGAGTTTTCACAAAAAGATTCCAAGTTTTAGATAATTTATAATATGTAGATTATTTTTTTATATGGGTAGTAAAGTTTCAGCCAAACACTTAGCATTTTCTTTTTCTTTTCTTTTGGTTTTCCGAGGGAGGCATCTTTGGATGCCTGTCCTGCTAGCATTCAGGAGGCAGAAGCAGGCAAATACTTAGTTTTTAATGAAAAGAAATAATAGTAATTGCTCAACAAAAATAGCATCATAAATACTTGTTGTTTTTTTTTCATTTTTATCTTCCTTTCATTTTCTAAGATCTATTTCAGGAGAAAAGATAAACACAAATGTTAGTCAGGATTAGCTATAAAATGATCTGGATCCAAGGTCATAATTTACAGTACATGGGATGTAGTACACAGGATAGTACATAATTTACAGTACATGGGTTTAATGTACAAACTAGTTTTGTAAAGAATTATTTATTGTATCATATGTCTGCATGTTCCAGCTGGTTGTTTCTACACTGAGCCATTGCACAACCTATATAGTCCCTGAAGTCTAAAGTTTCTCTCTCTGACCTAGAAAGAATCTTTACTAACAACTACCCTAAACTATATTGTTTCTTGGCAGTCATAAAAGGGGATAGATGGGTGATCATTCTATAGTCTGATTGTGTTCCGGTTTTTGTGTGGCTGTTTTGATGGTTAATGAATGCGAGAGCTCAAACAGAACTAGAAAACAATGCATATTAAATCTTATGGTGATTATAAGTATACACTGTAAGCCTATTAAGAACTCAAGTTAAAATATATTTATAATTTTCAAATTTTAATTTTAGTTACCAGTGCAAAAAAACTTAAGTGAATCCTCTAGAAACAGCAAAATAAAGTATCTAAAAATTCTACTTCATAAGATATCCATGTAAAGAACATTCATATTACTTTGATGTAAAGATAGTTAGATTATTTATAAAGTTCACACAAACAGGTATTTACCTTACTAGACATGCTCAGGTAATCTAAATCATATAAGTGGTGTAGTCTCACAAGGCAATAAATGGTATTTATAATATAAAAACACTTTCGTAACCTGGATCCTTTGGAAAATAATATTCTCCTTTCTCTGGGGGGTTTGGAAAAGGCCCCAGTTACATCTATAAAGATCTCTTATTAGATTGTCAGAGGCATCTACATCAGTAGGTAAAGTAGAAAACATTTTGTGTCCCCTACTTTCTGAATTGCCTGAGGAAACAGAATCTGTATGAATTTTGTTTTAGAATGAACTACACCATTGTATTCTGAAATGCTTACCTCCTGTTGCTTCACGGTAGACTCACTGACTTTGCGATTCAGTGTTTCTGTTTGGAGCTGGGCATCAAGCAGTGTGGTATTGAGACTCAGCAAGGATTTGGAAATTTCATCTAGTGAGTTCCCATGTTCCTGGACTGACGAAATCAAGGAACTTAACTGCAGCAGAACATCATTGAGTCTTTGGTCAGTTGCCATACTGAAATTCTGGAAGCGTTCTGTGTCCATGAGGTTGGCTTTAAAGTCTGAAATGCTTTGGATTCTCTCCTCCAAGTCCGTCATGTGTTCCGTGATGGCTGTAAATCTCTTTTCAGCTTTATTTGTGTCTTCTTCTCCAATCAGACTTTGAGATGTATCACTTGTGTTAACTGAACCAACTAAGCAGTTCTTCATTTCCCTATTGATAAGCTGAGCTGAATATTTAAATAAAAATAAATCAAATCATAGCCTGTATCAATTTTGCTCATCACTAGTTTCTATGTCTCTGCGTTACATTCCATTACAGTATGTTGAATGCTATCCTAAATCAAGAATGTATTTTTTAAACATAAAGCAAAGAAAACCAGCCTACAAATCACAATCCCAGAGAACTTAAACAACAATGGAGAAATTAAGAGAGACATACATAGATCTAATCTACATGGGAAGTAGAAAAAGAGAAGATCTCCCGAGTAAATTGGGAGCATGGGGACCTTAGGAGGTACTAAAGTACTATCTCTTTCAACAGTGGGTAAGATGGAGTAGACTAAATATGTAAAACTTATCACTGGCAGCTGATAGCCAAGGAAATTCTACTTCATTGCAAAGTGGATTATACATGAAAGAATGTCTTATCAGAATTTTTGCAGCCTTTACCCTCATAGAAAGAAATGCCTGATAACTGATTATTATTTATACTAACAATAAGTGTTACTATGTTTTTTAATTTAAAAGCATGTTATATTTCTGTGTAAAATTAGCTCATTGAATATAATCATATATCAATGGTATTTTGATATGGTCTATAACAGGAAACACTATTATTACATGTCAGTCATTCTGTATTTCTTAATCAATAAATTAGACATACAGGCCAGCTCAGGCACCCTCTCCTCCACTGCCCAAGGTCCTAGCTTGGGTCATCCCCGTGGACTCCTAGGATCCCCTCCAGAGCCAAGCCTCTTTTCAACTCCAAAATGGCTCCTTCAGTTAAGATATCTCCTTCCCTGCTCCCATATCCATCCTTCCTCCATCTCAATCATTCCACTCCCACAAGCTCTCCCCAACTCTCCTCTTTTCCCCTCTCTCTCCTCCTCTCCCCTTCCCCCCAGCCCACCCCCATGCCCCCAACTTTTGCCTGGTGATATTGTCTGCTTCCAATTTCCGGGAGGATCTACATAAGTTTTTCTTTGGGTTTACCTTATTAGCTTCTTTAGGATCATGAACTATAGGCTCAATGTCCTTTGTTTATGAGTAGAATCCACTAATAAGTGAGTACATACTATATTCATATTTTTGGGTCTGGGTTATCTCACTCAGGTTAATGTTTTCTATTTCTATCCCATTTACATGCAAAATTCAAACCTGAACTGGCCTTATCCCGTAGTGAGACTGATGAATATCTTGAATATCATCATAGAAACTTCATCCAGCAATGGATGGATATAGAGACAGAGACCCACATCAGAGTACTCTCAAGGTCCAGTTGAAGAGCAGAAGGAGGAAGAATATGAGCAAGGAAGTCAGGACCATGAGGGGTTGGTTTACCCACTGAGATGGTGTGCCTGAGCTAATGGGAGCTCAAAAAATCCAGTTGGACTGAAAATGAATGAGCATGGGATCAAAAAAGGACCCTCTGAATATGGCTGATAATTGGGACAGACTGGGAAGCCAAAGATAATGGCTCTGGGATTTGTCTCTACTGCATGCATGTACTGGCTTTTTGGGATCCTATTCTATTTGGATGCATACTTTCCTAAGCCTGGATGTAGTGGGGAGGGCCTTGGACTTCCCACAGGACAGGGTACCTTGCCCTTTCTCAGGACTGGAGGGAAAGGGGAGAGGATGTATGGGGTTTGGGAGGGAAGTGGGAGGAGGGCAGGAAATGGAAATTTTGATCAGTATTATTTATAAAGTAATAAAAAACTAGACATACAGTATGTTTGCTTGCTACAGATAATCATATTTATTAAATTCAAACTGAGAAGCAATTTTTTATGTAAAACTTAATCAATTTAATGTTTTACTTATAGAGCACCTCTGTGTGAACTATCAGTTGAATAAATGGCAATAAAAGTGTATGCCTCATCAAGAAAACTTTTCTTTGGAACAGACAGAGATAACTACACAATACCACTATCAATGAAAAACCATTGGAAAGTTTGATTACAAGCAATGAATCTACAAAACACTGTCATGTTTAAGGTTCAAGGAACATCACAGAAGAGGACACATGAAGATTGCAAGAGCCAGAAGATCAGGGGCTTCTGTGAAACTGTGTCTCCTAGTAACATCAGGAGATGCAGCTGTAAAGTCTTACCCACATGACTGCCCAAATAGGAGCGGAACAAAGAGGACACTAACTAAGCAAGCAAATTAAATAAATAAATAAAATTTGAACTAAAGATTACTCCCTGAAAACAAAGGAAGATAAAGAATGTCACAAAGACGAATACTAGTGAACATAACAAAACTGCACAAGGAACATCCCACAAGTCTCAACCCTGCACAAAAATGCACAGGCCACTGAATAAAACTAGGATCAGGAGAGGTGCCCCTGCCCAGGAACGAACACAACAATTAGTTGCCCATTACCAAATGGTCAGACTTAGAAACATAAATACAAGTAGCACATGGACTACTCAATAGGTTATGTTTGGGAATACACATGTATATACAAATACATGTATGTAGGAAAGAACAATTGATAAAAAGGAGATCATAAGTTTGAAGAAGCTTGGGGATAAGTATATGGGAAGGTTTGGAGGTGGGAAAGGGGAGGGAGAAGTGTTGCTATTAAAACACAGTCTCAAAATTAAACAAAGTAAACTGGATGGGGAAGGGATTTTGTCCCTAACAATAATAAACTTTAATCAACAACATTTAAAAAACTGTTTCAAAATTGTCCCATGGTGAACATTGCTTCATTTAGTCAGCAGTTATGACGCAAAATTTTTGAGTGGTATACACTGGATTAACATTTAAGACTGTGTTGATGAGCAGCGACATTGAACTAGTGACTAGTGTTCAAGCTTTCATTTCACCATCTGTGCAAATAGAGTGTTAGTACTACTGTTACCAACAAATGAGTATATAAAAAGTGTATAGATCATTTTCTATGCTTCAGGATTTAAGTTTCACCTTATATTTACATCCTTAATATTGATAAATTCCATTATAATGATATAATAACTATATATAGTATAAATATATTACTTAAGTAAAAGTAATTAATTAACAAATTATACTAAATATATTAATATGTTGTATAATATAAAAACATTCTTGTAGGGAGCAGTGTCAGTAAACACAACAGTTTGTGCTTTATTTTACAAAATCTATGCTCTACTTGCTTCATCATAGAACTTTGCTTGGAAAACAAGCTTTACTTCACATAACAAAATAGTGTTTTTTCTCAGCATAGAAAAAAGCCTGATGTTGCTAAAGGCTGCACCAACTATGATTTTAATTTGACAACATAGATATGAGCTGATAGTAAAGGCTTTATTTATTTACTTTAACAACATACTTTTCCTTGTCTCCTTAATGATAAATAAAACTAACTTCACCTTTACTTTATTTAAAAATAGCTCATTCAAGTGCTGGAGCAAGGAGCTTTATGGTACTTGCTGGGCATGCATGTGAACCTTCGAATCTAGACTTCAACAATAACTAACTCTGGCGGCCTTAATGAGACTGGATTTCAAACACTCTTATATTTATTGTTTTGATTTCCCACTTGGTATTATTGCTAAGGAAGGATTAGAGAGTGTGATTTTTGTGGAAGAAGAACATCCATAGAGGCATGACTTGAAGTTTCTAAAGACTTGAGCCTTTCTAGTTAGCTCTTTCTTGCTCGTGGTTGTGTCTCAAGCTGTGAGGTCTTAGAGTCATGCCTGCCTCCTTCCTCCCATGCTCTTTGCCAGGATGGTTATGGACTCTAATACTTACAGTTAAAGTAACTGTAAGCTTCACATTAATGCTTTTTTTTTATAAGTTGCCTTGCTCATGGTGTCTTATCACTAACTAAGCAAATTAAATAGGTAAGCAAAAATGTAAAGTAGACATTACCTCCTTGTAATACAGATACATAAAGAACGCCACCAGGACACAGCCAAAGGACATGCCAATGTAGACAGGAAAAAACCCATGAGTCCACAACCTTACCCAAAGAACTTTAGGCAACTGAAAAAGCTGGGAGTAGGAGAGGTGGTCCTCCCCAAGGAAGAACACACGAATAGGTGGTACAGTGCCAAGCAGCCAATACTGAAACCATCCACACAGGTAATATTATGTAGAGTAAGCAGGTTATATTTTAGGACTATAAATCTATGTATATATATACATATATGCAAGTAGTAACAATAGTGAAAACAGGGCATTAGTTTTAGAAGAGTAGGGAGGATATGAGAGGGTTTGAAGAAAGGAAAGATAAGGTAGAAATGTTAAATGTAAAATTATATTGTAATCTCAGAAATAAAATCAAAAGAGAACATGAGAGTTCATATTTTCTAAAGTGTATTTCTTTTCATTTGTTTCTGGAGAGATGGCATTATGTATCATCTCTATTTTACGCAAAAGAAGTCAAACTTTTACTCATAGGCAAATACCTAGGGAACTGGTGATATTTGATTCTACAGATCAGATTTACTCTCTCATGTTAGCAATACCGTAGTCTATCCAAAATTTATATTCCTTAAAACATGAAACAGCAATTTATGCACATCCATTCTAGAACATATCCTTTTGCACTGCTCCAGTCTTATGCTGTTATTTTTCTGTCAGGAATGTGTCAATTTTTTTTTTTAAAAAAGCTGTCACATATAGTAGACCATGAAGAGAACAAACAACTTTTCACACGGGTGTTACTTCAAATTTGCATAGCTTTACGTCCACCATTCTGCTTCAACGATCAATTCACGTGTTGCACCAGTACTTTCGGCAATCTACATTTGTGATCTACTGATATCCCGTCTGTCTATGCAACATATTTTAACTTTTTTTTAAAGGATATTATGACCTGGTACTAAAAGTTACGAGTGCACTAATCTACCTATTATTGGTACATGACAATCACAACGAGTTTTGCTTAAAATTCTAGTGAATTTGGTACTGGTATTAATTTACAAGATTAGAATATCCTGTTCCTTATATGTGTTAATAGGTTCCTACTGTAATTTTAAGAAACAGAAAATCACACATCAATTAATATCTATTCCAGAATAAATGTTTAAATTAGTAATATTTCCTAATGACTCAAAAACTTTGAACTTGATTACAGGCATGGATATTAGAAATGTCAGTTCTCTTCATTCCATAGCTGCCATTTGCTTACTGTTTGCTTTGGTTGTTATATTTGGATGTTTGTTTTCTCTGCTTTTCATGGCTAAAACAGGAGCTGGGTTTTTTTTTGTTTTTTTTTTTTATTTTTTCTTTTGCTTGTTTGCTTGTGGGCTTTTTGTAGGAATATTCTTTTGGCTAACATTATGACAATTCTATTTTCATATTTTTCTGGACAATCATGTTTTATTATAATAACCAAATTACAACGGGAGCCAGTAGACAAGAGAGGTTAGGCCCCAAAGCCATAGATGGGAGCACATGCTCCATTACTGAGGAGGTTCAGTTTTCTGGGATGGATAATGAGGATAATTATAGTGTCGGCTGAAAGGGTAATTGAAGAGACATATTAAAATAATATGCTGAAAGTTTAGAGCCCAGTGCTTGGGCATAGTAAATGATGTAAAGTGATTAAATGATAGCTACTTTTACAATTGCTGTTGATTTCCTTAGCTTTTCCTTCTGAGGAGAATTTTGAATCTGTTTTTGAGATACTCTCTCAAAAGTTTCATTTTGCATTTAGGAGTATTTTCTTAGGGAGATTAGAATGCAGATTCAAATGAACTTTTCCTAACCCTTTCTCTTGATGGTGCAAATAGCAAATATGTGTGGGGGTATCATGGAGAAAACAATGACAAGACCAGCGAGTTTGAAAATCAGCTGTCTGGAGAGGTAGTTCAGTTGGTAAACTGCCTTCCTAGTATGCAGGTCACCCCGACTTCCATTCCAGCACCATGTAAACTGAATGTGTTGGTGCTGTAATCTTGGTACTCAGAAGCAGAGGCAGGAAGATATGAGCTCAAGGTTGTTCTTAGGTACATAGCAAGGTAGAAGAGACAGCCTGGAATAAAGGATTTATTCAGGAAAAAAAAATATTATCTGAAAATGTTATCCCTGCACAAGCAGACTTCTTAGAGCAACCCATGTCCGGAGAACATCACAGGGAACCCAAGTTGCAAATCCTACTTTAAAAAATCCTAATGGATGTTGCAGTGTAATTATTAAAATCTGTTTAAATAATAAAACATTAAATACATTGATTAGATATTGCTGTGTTTTAAAAGTATATTACCATCTGATTTTTGCATTTGAAGCATAAAAATTTTCTGAAAAACAGGCAGGCATGTTTTTCTGGGATAGACATTGTTAGAGTAAATGACCATGCTTGCTTTCACATTGACACACACCTCAGAAACAGAATATTAGATTCCCTAAACTATTTGAGAAGACACTGGAGACCCGCTAAAGAACCATGGTTGACTTCATTCTCTTTAAGGGGGCATTTCTATTATGCAGTAGTTGGAATTTCAGGAGTGCTGCAGTCCAACACTAGAAGTGTTAAGAACTATTGAGTATATTCTACTTTTGAAATAGTCTAAACCTTATCACCGCACTTTCTTTTTAAAAAATAACAGAAAGTTTAATATAAAAATCCAATTACATTTATATGTAACAGCAATGAGCAATGGCAGTGTAAAATTCAAGTTCATTAGATTTGCAAAAGCAAGAAGAGAATCTAATCTCAGTCATGTCTACCAGTACATGTACATGATATATGTCAAACTCTGAAAGAAGCTAGCAACACTCTAAATAAGTGAAGATGCACCCCATGCAGTATTTTATGATTGCTTAAAATTACAGACATGCATACATGCACACACAGCCACACACGGCTTAAATGAAATTTTGCCCCTTGGGGTGAAAATACTCCCGCTGCCCCCCTGCATCACATCTGCCGAAATCGAGGAATGTTTTACATACGAAGTTTCTTTATGAATCCAATACAAAACTGCTCTAGTTCTGTTTTTACAATAAGCACATGAGCAAAGTTTCCAGACTCTAGGATACTGTACCTGCTACTATCCCAATGAGTGGTATTAGAACTGCAAACACGAGAAGGTAGAGGGCCACTAGGGCAGTTTTGAAGGACTTCAGCTTCTCCTGAGGGGAAGAGCCATTTTTAGGATCTAAAACAAAGCAAAAGAAAATAGAACAAAACCCCAGCCTGTTATTAAAAAACAAAAAACAAAACAAAACAAAACTTATTAAAGTCTTGGTAACAGGTGCTGGGTATAAGGTTTAGTAGATGAAGAGCTTGTTGTACAAGTAAGAGAGCATGACTGTGTATGATCTCCGATTTGTACATCTCACATGGTTGGACTATATCACACAATTTTTTAAATGGGACAAAAAGTGAGTCACATTTTGACAAAAGTTCAGAATACATCAGTGAAACCCATCCTCTGGATATATGAGAATGTAATAAATATACTTATCCATTTGACATACTTTCACATAGAACAGGAATTTTTATAAAGGGCTATGGATTGCAGTGGGATTATGCTGACACAGAGGGAAAATGATACATTGTTTCCATATTTATTGTGTAGGGAGTATGTGTGTGTTCATGTATGTGTATGACTGCCTGTGTACGTCAGGATTTCTTTGAAGGCTCATGGTCAGTACTTAGATGTCCTCCTCTATTGTTCTTCACTCTTCCCTTTGGAGAGAGGGTCTCTCATGGAACCTATATTTTCTTGGTTTGACTAGACTGGAGACCAAGGAGCTGCAGGGGTCTGCCTGTATTTGTCTCCCCAGTGCTCTGTTCAGAAGAGTGCTCTGCCACCCTCTGCTTTCTACACAGGTTCTGAAGAACCAAATTTAAGTCTCTCTGCTTGCACAGCCAGCACTTGACTGAATAAGCCACCTCTTAAGCGTCTTCCTAAGAGAGTTTTATATAGCCCAGGCTAGCATCACACTCACTTTGCAACAAAAATGGCCTTTAACTCATGATTCTCTTGCCTCTACCTCCTAAGTTCAGGAATTATAGATATGCACCACTTAGTTCAGCTCTGTTCAATCCCATTTTGTGAGACATGGAAAGGGAAAGAAACGAACTTTTAAAAAGGTACAGTCAAGAAAATAGTAAAGAATGGAAATGCAAAGAACAACCCGTTATAAAAACAAGTTGGAACTGTCTGTATTTCAGTCTGACTAAATGGGAATCTCGTTTGTGCACCTTATGTGCGTCTGATGCATAAGGAGGTCAGGGGTCATCCGGAACTGGAGTCACAATAGTTATGAGCTGCCATGTACTTGCTAGGAACCAAAGCCAGGTCCTTTGAAGGAGCAAGTGCTCTTATACATGAAGTGACAGGTTCTCTCGCTGAACCTGGAAATTACAGATTTAATTAGATGGACTGCCCAAGAAGCCACAGGGGTTTTTCTGTTGCTTTCTCTCCCACACTGGAATTACAGGTGTCAACTACCACATCTGATTTAAAATTGTGCATGTAAACTCATGGGTTTTGCATGCTGTTTCCTCTACCTGAAAGGCTTCTGTAATTGATGCTTCCTTTTTCACCCATCTCCTCAGATATGGGCTTTAAGGCTTAGTAGACAGAGAAACAATTATGTTCTGTCATCTCAAGCCTGGGCAGAAGCTGGCGAGCACTGTTTCTTCTGTGTTCCTGTCCCAGTCTGATTCATCAGTTGTAAGTGGAATTTTTATCGTCCAAAAAGATATGCAGAAGTGCTAGCTCTAGATAACTATGAAGACGATTTTATGGAACTAGGGTTACTGCAGATGTCGTCAAGTGTAAATAATGTCTGGTGGTGTTATAACTCTTCTGGTGACTGGATCTTTACAAGGAGAGAAAGAACATACATAGGAAAACAAACCCTCTGAAGCAGGAAACAGAGGTGGCAAGGATTCACTTAAAAGCCAGGACTACGAAGAATTACCAGAAACCACTGAGGCTGGGAAGAGACATGGCCTTTAAATGACCTTTGTCCATTTGGATACCTTGATTTAAGGTTCCTAGGATAGATAACTGTGACACAACAAATAAATCTGCCCTGATTTAAGCCACCCAACTCAGGACCTGTGCCACTGTCATTTTCTACTTACTGGGAGGGAGCAATGTTGTCATTGAGCGAGCATCAAATTTTACAGATTCTGAGTAGCTATCAGCATCCTCTGATTCATCGGGGAAGAGCCTCTGTTGCTCTATGATCTGTTAAACACACACAGAATACATGAATCCCATATGAAATTGCTGAGGTTTCTCATGGTGTTTTAAGTCATTTATAATTAATATTCAATTTTAGCACACACCTCATATAAAGCACTGTATTAATCTTTCTCTTGACTTTTCAGTGAAGTATTAAAAAGTTAAATTTATAGGGCTGTGTGGATAGTTGCCAATAAAACATCTGCTCATCAAGCATGAATACCTGAATGTGGATGCCTATCATCCCCCCAAAAGCTAGATGTGGCACAGTTCTAGTGATCAGGTACGGAGACAGGAGGATCTCCAGCAGTATGATGGCCAGTTAATGTAACCCACTAATGAGTCTCAGAGAGAGTCAGGGATCCTGTCACAAAAGAGATGGTGCAAAGAAGCAGGAGACAATATCCAGCATTGACCTTTGGTTTCCACATACAGGTACACGCACATACAGGCTCACATGTTCAGCTTCACCACCTCCAGACGTGTACTCACATGCACCCAAACATGCACTCACACATAAGTTACAAACACGTGAAAAACATATTGAAGAGGTCTGATTCTGGAAGACTCGTTGTGCTGTTCTCGATGGAAAGGCATCTGTGTTTACAGGCATGTGGTCTTTGCATGTGAAGAGGAGTAGACTTACTTTTCTTTCTTTTTTAAATGAGTTTGATTTTACTTTATTTCTTTTTTTATTAAAAATTTCCACCTCCTCACATTTCTCTCCTCCTCCCCCGACTCACCCTCCCTCTCCCTCTCCCCTTCTAGACTTACTTTTCTAATGACAAAAAGATTCAACTGGCAGAAAAATAACTAGGTAAAGAGAAAACAAATGATTTCCCTTAGAACAAATAGCCCCATGTTTTGGGACAAATATTTCCTGTGACTTTCTGGATGGATTTGTTAAACACAGCTTAGTGAACCAGACTTCCTTGCCAGGGCATCTGCTTATCTGTTTAGAAAGATAAAGTCAAGTAATTAGATTTAAATGCACAGGAAAAGGTAATTTTTCTTTCTTTCCCTTCTAACTGGCGCTCTCTCCCTCATTTCCTCCCTTGTCCTCCTCCTCTTTTCTTTCTCTCTCCTCTTTCTCCCCAACTCTTCTCTGTTTCTTTATATGTTTACATTCCACAACATAAGTCTGTCCTTATGTCATTTCAATTCAATTACTATTCTACTGAGCAATATATACCTTTATCTCTAGTGGCAGTTTTCAGTTGTCAAAGACCTTGAATGTCTTAATATGGAGCTAAATGAGCCACCATGACAGACTTCCTGATATCTGAGTGGAGAGGGTCAATAATGTGCAAGTCATAGTGAGCGGAGCAAAAGTCTGGCCTGGGATTGCACATTGAGGTGACACTTATGACAACATTGCACTGTACATTCAAAAGGTAGCAAAAAGAATCCTGAAAGTTTTCACTAAAAGGAAATATTTAACATTATTTTAATTCAACACAATACATACAAATTACCACATAGTACTCACTAAGATGTACACTTTTATATTTACATTTATAAATTTAATTATGACCAAGATTAGCTCAGTGGTGAAACACTTACCGAGCACGTAACAGGTCTCATTCTTACTTCCAATTATACAAAATATCTTAATTAGGTTTTCTATTGCTGCAATAAAACACCGTGCCCAAAAGAAAGTTGGAGAGGAAAGAGTTTATTTGGTTTATACTTTCACATTGCTGTTCATTTGCCAAAGAAGTCAAGACAGAAACTCAAACAGGGCAGGAACTTGGAGACAAGAACAGATACAGAGGCCAGGTGGTAAAAAATTGGATGGAAAAGTGTTTGCTCACTGTTACTGGAATCATTTTGTTAATCGCTGTCACTGGTCCTTCTCCAAATGAATAAAGAAGGCTCTAGCATGCCCTCTTGAGATATCCTGAATTCATTTTCCCTTCAATGCAACGGAAACATTGCAGGCCATTCACTCTATAGCCTGTGGAGGAATGTTTATGAACAAAGATGAAGACACTTGTACCTGAAACATACTTCTAGAATGTAAGCTGGCAGATCCGTGTCCGGTTTTGTCCAACATTGTATTACCAGAGCTTAGGGCAACTTGGAATTTTGAATATCCTTTATAAGTGTTGAGTGGATAACTGTTAGACTTTCTAAGACTCTAATCTCACGCATTTGTCTTTGCTTGCCAAGTGAGGTGGACATTTAGAAAACCAGGGAGCTGCAGTGGTAAGTTCTTTTGCATACGGAAATTCTTCACAATTTTTGTTTGCAATCCAGATTCTGTGGGGGATTTTACTTTAATTCTAGGGTCCCTCAGTACCATCCTTGACCCTGTATGAATGTAACAGGCTCCGCAAGAACTTAGTATTTCAATTCTCTTTTTATTTTTTAGTATTCATCTTTTTTTATAGGAAATATCTTGTCATGCCTTGAAAATTCATATCCTGATTGACAATCTGAGGCAGGCTTATCTTCTAGTTTAGGCAGCCTGAGCTTCCATGAAAACCAAGGTGTATATTTCCTAGCTTTGTCTCAGCCTCTCCACAAGTTAGAACAGTAACATGAGGAAGATGGAGCCAGACTGAAATACTTAGGATAAAATTGTACTAGAGTTATTTTTCTTTTTCTGTATATATATTTTGCTGTCTTTTGGATTCAGAAGTGGACTTGCCCCTTAGGGCTTAGGAACACAAACTGCCTCTGTCCTGGTCCTTGTCTGCAATCCTTTGATTCTTGTGAGTCGCAACTGACCACTGGTTTCATCCACATCCTACTGACATTTTTCAGGGACATATTACTAGCTTTAGGCCAGGGTGATGTGAATGTGGGAGATTAGCTTGATAGGAAGTTTATCTAACGTAGGTTTTACCCTCTAAACATCAATAATAGTTTTTAAATCACCGAATCTCTGATTCTCTCGCAGTGTTATTCCCAGCTACTGAAGTTTCTTGTGGGAGATATAGGAACTATGTCTATTCCCTCCTTTTAGAGACTAGTGATAAATGAAAGCGTAATTCCAGAACAGCACAGTTCACACTGGGAAACAATGAGTTTATTGGGCTTACTTAAAGAGCATGGCTGATGGTTTGTTTTTGTTTTTGTTTTTTTTTTACAGAAACATGGCTGACTTCAATGAAGCTCCTCTGGATGATGGCTTCCTGTGCTTGCATAGATGAAGCCTCCTTTCCATTCTAATTATGAGCCTATATGCCTTAGACCATCCCTGAGTTCACAACACCACTTGCATAACTACATGCATATAGCTGGAAAAGAGTCCAGATACCCTGGTCACTGTCCAGAAGCCTTCCCACTCCCTCATTCACACTTTGAAGAAAGGATGACAACAGTCCACAGGCTCAACGGTGACAGACGCTCACAAGTAGGCACAGAGGATCTCAAAGATGGCAGCAGTGTGTCTGGGAAGACAGCAACTTCTAATGCTCCCAATCTGCATCCTTGTATTTTTTCAAACACAGTATTCTCCTTGACACCCACATTTCTCTCTGCATTCTGAACATCGACTCTGAACATAGATGTAGCGATTTCATCACTGTGGGCAACATCTGCTCTCAGCAATCTACTGCTGGGATGCCTTTAATAAACATTCATATTCGTGACAAAAGCATCTTCATGAACAACAGCAGCAACAAAAATTTGTCCCATTCTGGGAGAATTCTCTCAATTTACTCCCGATAGCTTTAGCCCTTTAAAGTGTGTTGGAAGGAAGAGAAACAGGAAAATAGAGAAACCTTCTTTTCCAAAAAACAAAACTGAGAAACAGAAACTTGCGAAAAAGCTTGATTAGTAGACAAGTAAGCAAAATGATCCTGCATTTTCAGATACAGACAAACCTTTGGTTATGTTCTGTATGATTTTGCTTTGAGACAGTGTGTTACTAGCTCAGCCAGTCTTACCTTAACATGCACTCTTCCTCGCTCAGACTCCTAAATGCTGTGATTATTGGTGTGCTATTGTGCCTTCCCCCATACCTGGACAGTGAGCTTGCCAGGCTTAGCTCTTATCCTTTTGTCTCTCCCTATTTGCTCCCCTGATGACCTCAGTGCTTGCATTTCAGATCCCCAGAGCCATAAAATGAGGATAAAGATAAAGCAAAACAGAATAAAAATGAAACATTACATACAAGAAAACGACAATGTTTTCCAGGATGATTGGCCTTCATAGATCTGTATGTACCTCAAGGAAAGTTTATATTTCTTAAATGCAAAATTTAAAATTTCTGCTTTTCCATGGAAAATGGAAAATGTTTCTTTCTGGCTTGTGTGAAGTTAGTTCCCTAACACAAAAGATATCACCAGTGCATCCCACCTCACCCCAAAGGAATTTATTATTAAATTTATTGAATTATTTTAACTTTCTTCTGATTATTACTATGAAAATTTTGTAAATGTTAGAGCACATACCCAGGTTGAGTCCTTCCTTGTCAGCATTCTCATGAGATGCTAAATGCACTTTCCGAACACCAAACAACTTCACATCAAGTGACTTTTCCCACTACACCCAGCTGCACTGATAAAGGATCGGGGAGTTCTTTGAGCTTGTACAATCTATTAACAGAGTGTTCCCATGAGAAGCAAAACACTTCTCTGCCATGTCAGCTTTTTATAAAGGGTCAAAAGTTCATGGAAGTAGCAACAGGAAAGCCATATGAAAGAACTCCATGATTAGCACAAACCACAGTCCTCATTTTTGTTTTCCATTTTATCCTTAAAACAATGAGGGACACAAAAGCCTGAGGAAGAAGTCAACTTCTACCATCCTGTCGTTTTGATACAGTAAGATGCCATCATTCATCACAGGTCACTTCCGTCTTTGAGCATATGTCTGGATTTACACAGTGAGCACTGCAATGTGCATATTGATGGGTGTAACACATTTCCCTTAGAAATCATGTTTTCCTCCTTCTTTGATTTTCTTTTTTAAATTTAAAGTAATGAATTACATGATATTTAACCAAATATGAGAATCTATTTCTATAGACAGTTTCTTATTCCCCCCTCCCCTGCTTTCTGGAGCACATGATTTTTCCAATATAAACTTTGATGTCATAGCTATTGTGAGTTAGATTTATTCTTTTGATATTCTTTTGTTGAACCCCTAGACTAAGTGAAAGCTACTTCAAATACTGGCATATACTGTGGTATAATACCACATATGTTTGAACAATATGTAAGTGAGGAGATTATACATCGAATTCATCACCATAGACTTGCTTAGATATTATCAAGAGTTGTGTTATTTTTAAGACATCTTTGTTTTCATGTTAATAATTATTGTAGAACAGATGTTTCTGCTCAATCATTTCTTAATTACTGTACCCCTTAACTATTGTCTGTTCATATCCATTGCTTGAACAATACAGGGACACTTTCTTAACCCATATGTAACTAAGCAAAGGATTTGTGTTTGTCATCTATTAACTATCTGTTGTCATTGTTGCTGTTATTGTGCTAGCATTGGACTAGCGAACAAACGTCTGTTCATCAAAGGGTGGTTTAGGTGAACTATACCCCCAACACTCTTTTACTTTTAATTTTGAAACAAGATCTCACTAAATTGCCCAGGCTGACCTTGAACTCACACTGTAGCCCAGGCATGCCTAGAGCTTGTTGTCTGACTGCCTTGGCATTCTAAGTAACTGGATCACAGACTTGTGACCATGCTTACTGTCACTCT